ATATAACCTTTGTGACCCTTATGTAAACCTTTATTCTGACCCTCAAGGTCCTTAATTTGACCCTCATGATCCTTATTTTGACCCTTGTGATCTTTATTTTCACTCTCGTGACCCTTATTTTGACTCTGGTGACCCTTAGTTTTTGACCCTTGGTTTTGACCACCACGACCCTCATTTGAACCCTTACTCTAACCCTTGTGACCCTTAATCTCATTCTTGTGAGCCTTATTTAGACCCTTACAGTGACCTTTGTTGCCCTTATGTAATTGTTGACCTATATAACCTTTGTGACCCTTATTTAAAACATTATTCTGACCCTCAAGGCCCTTAATCTGACCCTTATGATCCTTATTTTGACCCTTGTGATCTTTATTTTCACTCTTGTGACCCTGATTTTAACCCTGGTGACCCTTAGGTTTTAACCCTTAATCTGATCCTTGTGATCCTTACACTGACCCTTATTACCCTTATTGGACCCTTATTCAACCCATTATTCTAACCCTCATGACCGTTAATCTGACCCTTGTGACCTTTATTTTGACCCTCGTAATCCTTATGACCCTTAATTTTGGAGTCTTAATTTCGAGTACCAAATTTTTATCACCAGAAGTCGATTTGGATTTTTAAAATATAGAGAGATAATTAAAACACTTCCATTGCAACAAATACATCAATTTATTAATATCCACCAAAAATATATTGTTAAAAAAAATAATTTCTTCTTTCATTGAAAAAAGTAATTTCTCCGGATGCACATTGAAAATTCTCGAATTCCCAATGATCTGTCTCAATCAGAGAAGGTCAACCAAATGCAATAACATTCCGCAAACTCCATCAAAGAGAATAATGACGAATTCATTACGATTTGAAAAGCATTCGGAGAGTGTAATTACGCACGGGTAATCCTCGCCGTCGACGAAGTGTCCACAGTGGTGACGAGTAACTCTGGGATTTGAAATAGCAAGTGGAGATGAACAAAACTCTTCCACGGGCTCTCCTTTCTGTTTGACCCACCATTTCCCATTCCCCCTAGTCCATCCCAGTTCGTTCTATTTAACAGCCAAAAACCTTACAGCACCGCAGAGTCCTCCTGTTAACTTTTAATCAGATGCAAATCGTGCGCTAATTACCTCGCCACGACGAATTAATTAACTCCCTCAGGAGAGAATGAAAGGCAGTAAGAATTTTTGGTCTTCGTTAGCAGAATTTCTCAATTCGATTCAAATTCCCAAGAAAAATTGAAAAAGTTATTTGCATTCCTCATTCATGAGTCTATTGCATTAATCAATGAAAATAATTGAAATTTTTTTTTGGGCAGCGGCGGAATTAATTGCAGAGAAAGTAAGAGGAATCTGAGATAATAACTCGGTTTCAGCTACACAATGTTCAGTGTTTTTTTCCATTTCCGCGTGGCTGTCGTCGTTTTTGCAGGCGTGTGTGTCCATCTTCCTTTCATTTTAGTCTGTAGGATACAGAGTTGGGGCTCAGTGTCTGTGAGCCATCAGCGTTGAGGTAGTTATTGTGTCGTCGACACCCAGTGAAAGGTTCATCAGCAACCAGTCAACTTCGTATTAATGTTTTTCTGGGGGGGGGGGCGACAATGAGAGGGTGAAAAATGGAGGGATGATAACGACAAGAGGCAGTTTGGGTGCATTGAGAAGATGTTGGAAGTGAATTGCCAGTGAATTTTTACTACTTATGCAAAATGCCCAGAATTGAAAAATTTTTATGAGCAAAGAATCATTTTTTCTGTTTTGTAATTTGTGAAATATCTCTGGGATGAAGACGTTTAGGAAAAATTGGAAAAGAATTTTTTTTGTAGAGAATTTCGTGAGTTAGAAAAAAGGACTTTTGATATTTTTCGATAAATCTACTAGTTTCAGTGATATTTCTTCATTTGTAAGAAAATTGAAAGAAAAAACAATTTTAGCGATTTTGAAAATGAAATTTGGTTTATAATTTGCTGAGGGAGACTAGGAGAAAATTGTCGGAGAATCTTTCCTGTAGAGAATTTTATGAGTTGCAATGTTGGCAAAAAAATGAAATTTCATGGACAGTTTAATAGTAATTTGTAAGAAAGTGACATTAAATTCGATTTGGAGGGGAAAAAATTATGAAATTTAAAATTTCAGTGGAGTTCCTCATTTTTGAGCAGGACAAGAATTTCGCAATTTACGTGAACGTGAATTAATTGAAAATTGAATAATATATTTACCTGAATTTTCCTGTTTTTCATTAATTTTCGCACAATACTTAAACTGAAATTTGTGGTTTCTATTAATTTTTGTCAATCCAATTTGAGTGAATTTTCAATTATAAAATTCCGTGAAATCTGTGCAAAAAAGAGCGTTTGTCATAATTATGTGTGATAACTGTTAAAAAAAAACAAACTTTGCTATTCAAAAAAATTAACTTTATCAATTTTTCAATTACGTATCCATCTCTATTCCTTCCCCTCAGGAATACAAGGACTCTCATTTCCATTTCTATTACTCATCCCAAACTTTACTTCACACATTATTTACAGTCATGTGGAACTAAATATCGAATGCATTCGATATTTAATTTTCCAATTATCTAAACACTACTAGAAAAAAAAATCCGAAAAAATTGTTAAGAAACAAAAATTTCCAGAAATTTACAAACAACATCGTCGTCTTCATTTCCAGATTTCCACGTGAACAACAAACGCTTCCAAATCACTTTTACTTCACGGACTTCGAGCGCCACACAGCTGAGATAGCGACCTTCCACCTCGACAAGTAAGCAATCATAAATCCATTAGCAATTGCTCCTCAAAAACGGGAGACCCGTAAAATTAATGAATACCCACTGATTCCGAAGTGACTAACACGGCACGTAAACATTGCATTTGCGCAGGCTGTTGGGGTTCAGGAGAGCAATGCCAGTGACTGGTCGGACGCTAAACATGACCACGGAGATATATCAATTGGCGGACGGTGAATTGTTGAAGACGTTCTTCGTCAGTCCAGCTGGCAACATGTGCTTTCACGGGAGATGCAGTTATTACTGCGACACGAGTCACGCTATCTGTGGCAATCCCGACACTTTGGAGGGTAGTTTCGCTGCGTTTCTACCGGGAAAGGAGCTGTCGGCCAGGAAAGTATGGCGACATCCTTGGAGGAGGAGCTATCATAAACGAAGGAAGGCCGCCTGGGAGACAGGTCAGTGGCGATAATTTAAATTGGGTTAACGGTCATTTAAATCTTCAATTCACTTTTTTCTGCGTAAAAAAAATATCGTCGGGATGATGCGGATAAATAGAAAAGAATAAATAAATAAATAATGATAAATAATTCAAAGAAATGTATATATGCATTCATTTATTTATTCTTTTTTTAGATTAGAAACAAAATTTTGAAGTAGAAAAAATTGCATTATTTTTATTTGAATTTTTTTCAATGAAAATAAATTTTTATTTTATGTTATTTATTTGTTGAATGCACTTTTGTGAATATGGTCACAGTACACATTTTTTTTAATGATAGGAAAATTTATTTTCTTATTTTATTTAAGAAAATAAATTTTCCTATCATTTAAAAAAAATGTAATGAGTAAAAATAAAATAATCAAAGCTAGACGAAGATTAGAATTCTCATTCCATGAACATGGCATGACTTGACAGAATAGATTTGATAATCTGAAATGTTCATCAATTGCCATTCAGTTTTATATATCCCTGGAGTCTTCAAAAATTATGATTGTACAATAAAAAAGACTTTGAAAATAAACGGAACATTTTCAAAGAAAATTTCATTATTGTTATTTGAATTTATTCCAATGAAAATGAATTTCTCTATCGTTTAAAAAAATTTAATGAGTAAAAGTAAAATAATCAAAGCTAGACTAAGATTAGAATTCTCATTCCATGAACATGGCATGACTTGACAGAATAGATTTGATAATCTGAAATGTTCATCAATTGCCATTCGGTTTTATATGTCCCTGGAGTCTTCAAAAAATACGATTGTACAATAAAAAAAAAGTTGAAAACAGACTGAACATTTTCAAAGAACGTTTTGAATAAATTGGTAAATAAACCCAATAGGAAGGAATTTGCAAATTAATAATTTACAGTATCTAATGGCTGTTCAGTCGTCATTTCCCTCAGTAGCCAATGCCTGTCAGACCGTTAGTTGCCATGATAAATTATCCACTTACAATTTCCTCTCTGTCGGAGTTATTTCCTAATGTTTATTAAAAATGTTCTTTGAAAATCATAATTTTTAAGGTGATGTAACACTATTCTATGTGATGTAAAATCCAGTGGAAATTGTGATATATTTTAGATTACGAAGATGGAAAAACAATCGAGATAGCGTTCGAAAAATAATCCATCCGGGCCTTAAATTAAAAAGATTACAAAACTGCCACCCGAACGCAAAAATACAAACTCAAAAATTCCCAAAAAGAAAACCCACTATTTTATTCCAGATTCCAACTACTGCTCCCTGATCAGGGACATCCCACCGTACGACGAGGGTCGTCGACTCCTCGACCTTATGGACATGTCGGTCCTAGACTTTCTCAGCGGCAACATGGACAGACACCACTACGAGACATTCAAGACATTCGGAAATGACTCGTTTATCATTCACTTGGATCACGGACGGGGCTTCGGCAAACCCTTCCACGACGAGACCTCCATCCTCGCACCGTTGCTACAGTGCTGCGTGATAAGACAGTCGACCCTCGGGACCCTTCTCAAGTGAGTACAATCCTTCCGGGTTTCCAAATAAGATTTTCCCTCTCATAGAGTGTTATTACGTGTTACGACAATGTGTCAGCTGCAGAGCTTTCCCACTCCTTCGTCTCATCTGTATCAAGTATCTGATTACTTAGTTTGATAGAGCCCTCGGGGAAATTGAGCTGTAACTGGTGACTTTTTTTCACGTCAATCGCGATGAGTTCAGAAGAAATGATGGGTTCATCTCGTTAATGAGCGATTTTCAAGGCAAACTGTTTGCAGAAAACAAGATTTTTTATCCAAATTAAGTAGATTTTATTTGAATCAAGTGAATGGATTTCATTGAAGCTCAAACTTCGTTTTTATTTGAATTTTTAGTCATATTTAATAAATAGTTGTTTCAAAAAATGAATAATTCTGCATTTGATCTAAATAACGACTTTATCACTTAGAGACGATATTACTCAGAAGGTGAATATCCCAAATTTATTAACATTCAAAAATCTTCTATCTGAATTAAATCAATCGTTGCATAAAATCAGGTTGCGTCATTTTTTAAAATTCCAATTCCCCTGATTTTCAAGTTCCGTAACAAAAAATATCTTTTGAAATGGTCCATGAAGAGTTTCATTCGCCTGACCAGTAATTATAAAAAAATCCAGACCAAGCTGAATTTACAATAAACATCATGAAATTCAATTTTTTTGGATAAAAACTCAAATCTATTAGGGGTCAATTTCAAGATAATTTAATATATTTTCGACAAAATGCGAAGAACATTATCCCCTTGAATCTATCTCAATTCATTCCAGATGAATCCATAAACCATTTCCCTAGAGTAAAGCCCCCGAAAATGTACCCCGGAACCTCGAAACTCAATTCTGACTTTCAAATTAAAAAGAAATCCGTCGAGAAATATTGTCTTTAGTTTAGCAATTCAAGCGTACAGAGTATCTTCCTCACCGAAGTAGCTAAAATGGTCCAGGTGTCGTGGCATCGATAATGGAGCATTTTAGCCTCTCCAATTGGCTCACTCACTGAGTAAAAAGGGGTCTTGCAGAGGGTAAGTAGCCCTCTTGGCTGCAGCTTTCACGCAGAGACCCCCGGAGGTACCGAGGTGGATAAAGTAAATTTAAATGAAACGCCCAAACCATTCTCCACTCTCGCTTTTTCCTCCCACATCGCTGTCTCTTTTTTGGGGTTGACTCTGCTGGTGGTGATTCCTCTTTGTTCCTGGGGAGGGGGAGGGTTTGCTCGGTATAAAGTGTAGATTCACGTTTTGCCTCTTGACTGTTTCTGGCCCTTGAAGCTGAACTGTTGGAGGTGGAGGAACATTACATTCCCATCGGTATTTCACATTTCTACAGTGACTAGACCGGACGATCTATCACCTCAATTTACTTGGAGAAGCTTCCTTTTCTTCATTCAAATTTCGAATGTCTCTTTATATTATCAAACTCTAAATCGACATCTGGGGGTAAAAATTTGGTACTCAAAATGAAAACTTGGGAATTAAGGGTCGCGAGGGTCAAAATAAGGGTCATGAAGGTCGGAATACGGGTCCTGAGGGTTAGATTAAGGGTCACAGGGATCAAAGTAAGGGTCGTGAGGGCCAGAATAAGGGTCATGAATGTCGGATTAAAGCTCACAAGGGTCAAAATATTAATCATGAGTGTCAGAATAAGGGTCATAAGGTTTAGAATAAGGGTCTTGAGGTTCAGATTAAAGGTCACAGGGGTCAAAGTAAGGGGCGTGAAGGTCAGAATAAGGGTCACAAGTGTCGTGAGGGTCAGAATAAAGGTATCACGGGTTAAAATAAGAGTATTAAACTCGCTACTTTCAATTCTTCAATTAATTTTAACAATATTCTTACTGGAAACTAATAAACTCATATTTATTGCAATGAAAATGTTTTAATCATATGAAATGAATAATTCCTTCATTATAAATAAATACGATAGCAGAATGCAATTGACTATTTACTTAATCTAAATGACAAATTACTACACGTTTATATATAATTCACTTCAGCAAAAGTTTGTTTAAATTAAATTCTTATTCTAATTAAATTTGAAAAATTACTCATTTGATATGACTGAAAACGCAAATAAAATTCGAGCTTAAGATCGAATAAAGACAGTATGCTCATCTAATAAAAAAAGCACTTCTCAGGGTGTAATATTTCGCCATCAATCAAATAATAATTCCCCTTTGAAGTCGACGATCTCAGAACTGTCGTGTAATTTTTCTTGAGGAAGAATCTCCCTCAGAAGTCAATAGTATAATAATTCCCTGAGAATGCATTTCGCCATGAAAATTCGACATTCAACCATTTGAAAATGTACGACGATACCTTTTCCTTATTCATTGCCCCCAATTCTTCTTCCCCGGTTATTCAACCGCCCTCGAAAATTCATCCACAAGGGGCCAAGGATCTTTCCTCGGGGTTTCCTCACTCTCCTTCTCACGTTTATCATTCCGATTTGAACGCTCCAACAAACCAGACGAAAATACTTTTATGCGCAAATAGTGTCCCGTCTAAAATTGTAGAATCAAATATCTCAAACTAATTCATTAGCCATTCAATCCTGGAATTTATTAATGATGGCTCACATTGGTTCTCATCCCTGGCTCCAAAATATTTCATTGAGCTGTCTAATTTCGGTTTGATTGAGCCCTTGGGGAGATTGAGATTTAGATGGGCATTTTTTCATGTTAAAATTGTGATGGAGCAGAAGAAATGACCGGTTTATTTTGTTAATGAGAGATTTTCAAGGAAAAAGTTTTATGGAAACCAACATTTTTTATATCTAGGGCAACAGTTTATTGAAATCTAAAAATGGATTTATTCAAATAGCTCATAATGAAGCTTTCATTCAAACTCAAACGTTATTCCTACTTGTGATTTTATTCACATCGAATATCCACTCATTTCAGAATACAAATAAATGTTCATTTGATCGAAATAATTACTTTATTTGTGATAAATAAATTAGTTGATTAAAGGTTAAAGAAAATGAGTCTATTAACATGTAGTAATCTTCTATCTGGATCAAATTTATTTTTATGAGATCCTAAAGGAGACTTTATTTGAAATGAATGAAAGATTTCATAGAATTAAAATGTTTTCGTGGAAATAAATACGATTTCATTAATTTCCCACACTAATATTGTTGAAATGAATGGAAAACTTCTAAGAATTTCTGTATATTTTCTCGGCGACGCATTCATCAAGAATATAATCTTTCAATATATAATAGGATCATCGTTTTTAGTCCATTTCGCAAATAAATGGCAGACTTTTTCGTAAATTTTGTTAATAAATGATTTTACGATAAAATGGGAGAACTCACTCTTTTCCTCACGCTAACCATTCCAATTTGAGTGCTTTTACATTTACATTTTACGTCTAAAATTATGTAATTAAATGTCATCTTAAATGTATTCATCAACCATTCAATCCCGGAATGCATTAAAGATTAATCACATTCGTCTCCATCGCTGACTTCCGAATATTCCATTGAACAATGAAATTTCCGTAATTTTTAAATCGAGTAATGGAAGTGAAGCATGGAAATGTACTTTAACTACTCTCATTTCATTTATACATAATACTCTTAATTAAGTACTGGAATAAATTGTCCGCTTGCACTTAGCGGTAAGTCCTTGCAATGCGTTATCTTCCCGGTACCGGAGAATTTTTAGCATAAGTTTGAAGTAATGCTTAAGAATATATTCGCAGCTCTTGTTGGAATTAAATCAGAATAGTGAAGAGGCAGGTCAGTAGACGAAAATGAACCGACAGTCGACGAGATAATCTTGATTAATTATTGCTTAAAACTGGAATTAGTTATTACGCGGGGATTATTAATAAGTCTTCGCGGAAGGGCTGTAACGGGGCATTCCAATATTACGTCACATGATTGGAGGGCGAGGGGGAGTGGTTGAGGGAAGGGGTCGCTCCGAACGGAAGTATTGTATTCGTCAAATTCGAAAATTCCAATTTTTTATGTCAGAATAATTATTTCGACCTCACATGTATGAAAAAATTCAATAGAAAAAATTAGTAAACATTTCAAATATTGTTTGCATTTATTATTAATTAATTATGTAATATTTTTAATACTATTAAATATAGTTATAATAATTATTAATTGTAAAATATTAATAATTATAAATAGTTATCAATATTATTATTATTGTTATTATTACTTTATTATTATATTTATAATAATTATTAATTATAAATATAATTAATAATATTTCCGCATTAATCAATAAATTCTGGGACCTTTCGGGTCATAAGGGTCACAAGGTACAACAAGGTTACGAGGGTCAAGAGGGTTAAACTCCCTTACTTGATTATTTGATTATAAGTTTTCTTTTTCATCAATTGAATTTCACGACGAATGGGCACTCGTTACAGTTCATAAAAAAATTTAACGTATCGGTCATCAAACTTGGCAAAATATCTATTTTTTTATATGTATTGCACCATGTGTTTCAGGATTACTACACATTTATAAATTCACTCAAGCAAACGTTTGTTTAAATTAAAACGAAACTTTAATTAAATTTGAAAAATTACTCATTTGATATGAATGAGAACGCAAATAAAATTCGAAAAAAGATTTGAAAATTACGCTCATTTAAAGTAGGTCTACCCTTACGGTAAATTCGAAGATTATTGAAAACTGCAAAAAAATGCAGAAGACTCGATTAGATTCGAAATTCTAATTTTTTCCTCAATTTAATTATCGTTTTGGGTTTTTCAAAGAAGAAATGTTTAAAAATCAGGATTTAACCCGTTGTCTTATGAGAAAATCAACATTTCCATTGTAATCAAAGATTAAAATCTGAATTTGTTTTCATTAGTTGTGAAAAAATCAAGAATTTTTTTGACACTTCATAAAAAATAATCCACCGTTTTGCGAACAAGTTTTATTATTTATTTATAAGAGGCAAATGTTTGAAAAAATATCAATGTTTTGCGAAATTTAATTTAGATAATACTGACTGGGTATGAATTTTTTCAAATTTTTTCCATGCAATTTAGTTGAAAAATTGAAAAACTGAAAATATCCAAAAGTACAGGGGGTTATTTTAATTAAAAAAAACACCGACGAAATCACAAATGCGAGGTTTCACCGGTTCTTCAATCCCCATTAATATTCCCCGAAATATCTGAACGAACCTGTCAACGCAATAATTACCATAATCCAACTTAGAAACTTCCTCGGCATACTATTTCACCGCATGTAATTCCGGATAACAATCCCCGGGAAATTATTTTGATGGATCTTGTCTGTTTCCAGATACCACAACGGTCCTCAACGGCTCAGCGCCGCTATGCGTCAGAGCATGGCGAAGGATCCCGTGGCGCCTGTCCTGTGGGAGCCACATCTCACTGCACTTGACAGACGTGTTGGTCTCATTCTTCAGGCAATACGAGATTGCCTAAATCGCAGTGTCCAGCCTGATCACGCGGTCGAGGAGAGCGAGCAAAATCAGGAGCAACAACTCGATCAGCGGAGTATACCCAAACTATGATAGTCCACGGTTTAATCTAAATATTTTTAAGTGGGAGGATATTTTTCATATTGGGCACAAACGCTCCAACTAAATGTGATATAGTTATTTTTTATGTTGTTGAGGGAACCCGGGGGTCAAGTAGGGAAATTCTTTTTAAAATTGGTACGCAGATGTTATTGTCGTTTTTTTATGACAATTTTGTGGGTCTATTCGCTGGCTCTGTGTGCAAATGGTGTTTTTTTACAGTTGTGAAGGGGTAAATTGTGCATTATTTTGAAAATATCTTCGGGAGGAAAACCTTGAGGGGAAGTTTGTGTAGAGCATTTCCTAAACTCAACATTTTTTCGTGAATTAATTAGTTTTGAAAGTATTTAAAGACGTATAGACACTTGCAAGATCTAATTCAATGATTTTTGATAAATCAATTCAGCAGCGAAGCGGTAATATCTCGGAATCTGCGGGAGACAGCAAAAATTTTGTTAAGACCCTTTTCATAGCCCGCAATTTGCCCCACAAAAAAGGTCATTACAAAAATTTCGGCATCTCCCTCAGATTCCGAGATATTCACGGACAAAATTGAAGCTATTTCGCCAATAATTTGCAAACTTGAAAAGAAAAAAATTGAAATTTCCCTGTTTTCGAAAAAAATTAATTCTCTTTCTAATCCACTGAATACCTTTGGAAGCAGAAGCTTCCGAAAAATGTATCGAAAGAAATTTCTCGTGGAAATTTCACGAGCCGCAAAAAATATATTTCGATAAATCCGTCAGCTTCCAAGATAATTTGAAAATAATGCACAGTAAATTTCAGAACTCCTCTATTTTTACCTCTTCACCACAAATTCTTCATCACTGGTTAGAATTTACGCGCGGCTCTCGAACGTCCCTGCATATTTATGTAAATTGTGTATAAATGGATGTATAAAAGAGTGGAATATGTCCTGACTCTGAGTGTAAGTACATGTCCAGAATATTTTCTGTTTATTTTCCCATTCGTGTCACTTTGACTTTGCACTCCCTCTATCCGATTATTTGTTACTGTTGTTCATTTCTCCTATTTTAATGTACGCAGACCTTCAAAAGTCTCTGTTTTTATGCTATGATTTCATTTCAACGATGGCACTCGCATTGAATGCTATTCTACATCGAATAAGGCTGCAGTAAAATGTGCACGAGGAGAAATAACTGCGATCAATTGTATCGATGGCATTTTACGTATCTGTGGAGCGAGGAGTGATGGATAATTCTAGATAGATCATTGAGGAGTCGAGAAAACTCTCTCAAAGGACAATGAATTATTGGAGTGAAATGCGAGAATTGGAATTGAAGGATTTCGCTTCCCCAATAAAAAGCACTTTTACATTTTTTTTTAAACTTCTCCAAAGGTTTATTGATGTGTATAAAATCACTGAGAACTGATCAATTTCTCTGATTTCAATTCAATTAAATTGTACATACAAAGGATTTTAAAATGTACAGATATATAAATCCATACGATTCAGTATTGAAGTGGTCATAACAGAACTGAACAAGTTGACTCTCCACATTGTTTTCTCGACAATGGGGAGATGATTACACGTGTGACGGACTTGGTTTTGTGGAAATGTGAAATTAATTAAGTGGACTGTTGCCATCTCGCTGATTGTTGAATTATTACCGCGATAAGGAGTGAATTCAGGGAAAAATGTTGAATGTAATGAAGTGCACTCCAAAACCACTCATTACTGCGATGTAAACGAAATTATAATGACAGTGTTATAAATAAAAAAGAGTTTTACCACTTCAATGCAGAAATAGTCAACTCGACCGCATAATGACACGAGGCTTAACCAGCAGAATGAATAATGTACCCATTTCGTTATTAAGCGACCAACTAATGAAACTACAAACTCTGCAACCAGCCAACAATAATCGTAATGAATAACGATGCAAAAAACAACATATCTCCACTGAAATTTCCCTGAAACTGTCCTCTGAATTGACGCATAATTCATCCTCGAAGGTACATTGGGTGTATGTAGAGAATGTTATTTTTCGACTGCCTGTAAATAGGTATCTGTTTTGTGTGAATTCTTATACATAAATAATAAAAGAGAATTTTCATGAATACTTCACTAAACTGAATTTATTCCGGTGATATCGGGTTTTAATATTTTTCTTCTTTGAGTGTGCCAGTAGTTCATGAAACGTTCCATTAATTCGGTTCAAGCTACTTCCCCTCCCCCATGTGTGGACAGCAACCAATGAATCGAATGAAAAGGTAAGTGACCAACCAATGAATCTGTTTACTCTACAACCGGATAACGGTAATCGTAAGGAAGTGGGAGATTGGTATTGTACTGCATATAGTATAGTTATTTTTGCTAATAAATTAGCAATATGCTTCCGAATGGTCATTTTGCACATTGTCTCCCATCATTATAATTCATTGTTTATTTCATTTTATTAAATTGAATAAAATTACTTTTTAACTAATTTCGTCAAAGTTTTAATTGAGTTGAATGTTATCATTTTAAAATTTTATTTATACATACTAGAATGAATCTAAAATACCACATTTGAGAAAAACCATCAGAAAACTCACTGTCAGGGAAATTTACGAAAAATTCTAAATGTTCAACAATCAACGTAAAAATCAAATCAACCAATATAGCTATCGTATTCATCTTTCAACGTCGACGTAGTTCCATTAAACAAATATTTTAAGCTATGATGGAATTCATTTGAAGCGCACGGAGAGAAATATTCAATAAAAATTACGTATCTTTTCCGTAGTTCTGGAGCGTAATGTGGTTGTAGGAAATTTTACGGAATTGTCACGGAATTTTTCCAGAGCGTTCCGTAATTTTTACTGAACATTTCTCTCCGTGCATGATGTTCAACAATATCCCTGGAAATCGTGGGATATACATATACGCCTGTAATAATAATAATTGATGTTTAATAATAACATGTAATAACTATAAACCTGAATTTTTTTTTTATTTAAGCGTCGAACCCTTACGGTTATGCAGCTAAACCTGAAAAATGAATTGTTTGGAATAATGATAATTCTTCTCAGTAAAATATAATGATGGTTTTTTTTCGAGTAAAAATTCGAAAATTAAAATAACTAATCGATGAATTAAATATTAATCAATGGCGATTGATAGCGCTCAATAATACCTACACTTGAAAAAGAAAGATTCAATTCCGTCCATTCATTCATTCGTGCAAACGTAAAAAATATCTACGCCGAAATTTCTCTGAAATTGTCCTCTCAATTTACGCACAATTCACCCTGGAAGGTCTCGTGCTAATGTTCATACACAAATAGTAGAACAGAATTTTCATGAAAACTTCCCCACAATTGAATTTAATTTATTAAATGTTAATTTATTCCATTAACATCTTTTTTCAATTTTTTTTTTCATTTCAACACAACATTAGTTGATGGAACATGGCACTAATGAACGAGATGCAACTGCGCTTTTATACACGACCCTACATATATTAGCTGTAAAATACATTTGGAATACATTGTCCAGAGAATAGCATTTCGGTAACGCATGCAGATATCTATGGCCTTTAACAACAAACGTTTAATTACAGCTTCAAGTTTGCTTATGACGGTAGACGTCTCAAGCAGGCTGACGCACGTTCAACCCCTCTTCAACCCCCGCCCCCTCCCCCCTCTATGTTTGGACATCGAAATACAATTCGCCACCTGGCTTTGTCATGTAACATGCTGAAAGCCTGATGATTAATAGGACGAGGGCGTTGCTTAAACAGCCACTGCTGGATAAATCGCGAAAGAATACGAGATTGTGACTTCAAGGGATTTTCGAAGAGTCGAAGAGTCTTCTGCGGGTCACACTGTTTTTCAATCCAAATTTCCAACTCCTCTGGCATTTACGGTCTTTTATGGGGTCCATGACGAAAAATTCCATTTAAGGATGTTCGACACCTTTTTGGCTGAAATTCACGTTTTTTTTCCTTTTTCTGGTGAATTGTCGATCGGATTGACGGAAAAAAATATAACGTTTTTGTGTTCTGTCATTATTTAATGGCTCACGCAGTGTCATGGTGGTGGGATCATTTTCCTGCGTTTTTTCTACAGTTTTGTGATTCCTTTTAAACGTTTAGCAAAAATGCACAAAAGGGATCGCACCACCTTGCAACTTCGCGAGTCATTAAATAATGACAAAATGCAGAAACGTTATATTTTTTCGCGTCAACCCGACCGACAATTGGCGAGAAAAATTAAAAAAACGTGAATTTTGACCGAAAAGGTGTAGAACATCCTGAAAAACTACTCCGTCAAAAAACCTCCAAAATAACACGTGGCGGATAGGGCGGAGTTGTTTTGACGGCAGTTTTTTACACGTACTACCCTATTATACGATTCTACACAGTAAAAAATCCACGGTGTCCAAGTTCTTTAAGTGCGGTGTGAAATCTTTGGGTTACAATCAACCAAGTTTCAGTTAATTTGAAATTAATACCGAGAACTTCGCGGTGAAGGCGGTGTTAATCAGTGCAGTTTACAATTGGTCGATAATTTTCTATGAAGTATCGAAAAATTTCTCTTTGTCCTCACCTTCTGATAAAAAAAAATCAGATTTTAGTCTTGAATCAAAATGGACGTGTTGATTTTTACCGTTTTTTCTCAAAAACCAAAACGGTTTTAAATTGAAAAAAAATTACGATTTTAAATCCGACTTTTTTTTTTGGAAATTATTTGCAATTTTTTAAATTGATTTGAGGATATCACGAGATTTTGTCTGTCAACGTTGCCCAAAAAATCTCAATTTCTTCATATCAATTTATAGCTAATTGAATAATTTAAAAAATTTAAATATCTTCCAAACTAAAAAAAAACTTACATAAAATAGAAAAAAAACTTGGCAAATTTGAGATCAAATCACCAAATTTGAAAACCTCACCAATCAATCACCTGACGGGGCGGTGGATTAATCATTTCACCCCCCATCCCCCTGAAAAACATAATTCTCCCCTCAGCAATTTTTAATAAACTCTTTATCCCACCGACTTGTCAGAAACAGGGAAAATCAATTATCAGTGAGAAGATCCTCCCGACAAACTCACGTGACTCCTCCCCCTCCAATTTCCCCAATACTTTTTATCTTGACACGTGAATCATCGGGTTGCAGACTGTGGGGTGGCGGAAAACTTTTTCCCGAGCTTACAAGACGAAAAACTTCCAGAAATAAAGAGGATGAGAGACAAAAAGACTACATAAATAGAGAGTGGTTTGTCGAAGGACAGTGTAAAATAAAAATTTGTCCCCTGGGTTCTTTACTCCACACGAGAGAGTGGCGAACAATTCGAGGGGTTGCTTCCCCCTCTCCCACCCCATCTCACCCTCTCCCGCCCCCTCATTCCACCGCCTTTCCCCGCGGGCATAAAATGTCGGTGTTACAGTGTACGAGATTTGTTTACGAAACTAGTGGCTCTTGCTGGTCGAGCGAAAAAAAAAATGCGGAGAGGTAAAAGGGGAGGTCGGGGTGAGGGGGAGGGTGAAGGGGTGAGAGTTAAAGTACCGGAGAGAGACAGAGGGGTAGATGAGAGAGAGGTCTCGAGCTCGGCTACGAAGTTTCCCACCCACTCCAGCACCAGCTCCCCATACACCGCCCTCAACCCCCCGCAAAAGCCACCACAGTGTCGCCTTTTGTTGACTTTACCCATCAACCCAATGGAATTATTGTTATTTTTACGAGGAGTTTTCTCAAACCCTAAGCAGAAATCCATATCGAAAAATCGTCTCTCGACGCTTCGCTTCCGAGTTGTATTTTTCCATGAGCGTGTAATGCTGTCTCAGATAGTCCCCGTCGTTGCACTAGTGGAGAGATAACAAAAATGCTGGTGGAATTTATGGGGCTGAAAAATTTCTGCTATTTTCCACGTGCAGTTGGTCCTGCTCGTCTTATCTGGAGGGAGTAGGTATCTGTTGGGCTGCGGTGTTTTTGGGGATGTGTATTCAAAATTGCGGGGTGCGAAGTATTTTTGCGGGTTTAGGTAAATTAATGTGGTTTTGGGTTACATCCGGTATTATTGAGGCCATTAATTAATCGACATTGATTAAAATTCAATTCGTATGTTAAGGGTGTAATAAATTTAAATTTTTTGGCAAATTATTGATCTGATATTGATATTGATTTTTAAATTTTTCTGGTAAATTATTGATCGGATTGACGTGAAAAAATATACCGTTTTTGCGTCTTATCATTATTTAATGATTCACGAAATTTCATGATCGTGCAATCATTATCCTGCGTTTTTTTCTAAAACTTTTCGAATATTCACAAAACTTTAGAAAAAATACAGGAAAATGATTGCACTATTATGAAACTTCATGAGCCAGTCAATAATGTTAAAACGCAAAACGTGATATTATTTCGCGTCCATCCGATCAATAATTTGCCAGATAAATGAGAAAACGAATGAGAATGAGAAATGAACGTGAATTTTGGCCGAAAGAGTGTAGTACATCCTTAAGTTTTAGAATTTTAGAATTTTCAAAAAATATGCAAGTTATCTTTTTCAATTATTAGAAATGTTGATGAAATGTTCTGTCATCAGTCTACATTGTCAACAATTTTTGGTGGAAAATTTTGGATGAAAACTTATTATGTTGTAAACTGTCAAGATTAAGTTTAGAATGATGGCTGTGTGTATTCATGTTCTTGTCATGAACTTGTTTAAGAACTTTTGAATTTTATGTAGTGTACAGTGTATACTGATATCTCAAGAGGAAATTCGAAGGGCACAAAATGTAAAAACCCGAGAGGGTATATACACTGAAATAAATAAATAAATAAATGAACTATTATTGAATTTCACCGAAAAGAATGATTATTATTCCAAATAACTGATTTTTCAGTTCTACATTTATTGTATTTTCCTATTAAACATCAACCACTAGTCAACTTCAATTGGGAAATTTCAATTCTCTTCGAGCATGAAAAAACGAAATTCTCCAAAAATGGATAAACATTCGAAATGTTTTGGTTGATGCCAATAAAAGGCTCGAGGTGACAGTGTATTCGGTTTTGTTCCATTTTTTATATTGAAATAAATAAATAAATACATGAACGATTATTATATTT